TTTCCCTATGCTTTCTGCCCCATCTATTGCTCTGCTTTTCTGCTCCCTGATCTATCTGCCATTGGGTTGCTTGTGTTTACTCAAGGCAAACAAGCTATTACCAACTCCTCTGCCACCTAGTGGTGAGCCTGCATAATAGTGCTTGTTAAACTACCCTGGGAGAGCTGGTTGTCTGTCTGCTCCAATCCCAGTGTACTTTGGTATATAAAGCAATGGAAGTTAAACAGGTATAAATGTGTCATGTGTCCAGGTTCTTGTATCCAGTAGGCAGACCCTTCTTTGGGAAAACTGCTTCCCGCTGCTGCAGCTGATGTAGTTATTAGGGCTGTACAAAACAGCGCCATTTCGTTTCGACTTCCATTTCGCCATTTCGATGGGACAGTGTTTCATTTCAAGTTTCGTTTAAAAAGCACAGTTCCATTTCATTTAATCGAAACTGTTTCACTGTTTCGACGCTGTTTCACCCATAGGCTATAATGGGGAAGCACAAACTGCCTATAACTTCGTCATTTCTTGCCTGATTTGGATGAAACTTGTAAGAATGGTAGCCCCTTCTAAGGCCATGAAGCCTACCACATTTCAAGGAGATAGGTGCAGAGATTTCCAGGAAACTAACCTCAGGCTGCTGACAAGTAAAACTCATGACATGGGTGACACTGCGTGTGTTAAGGTGCACCCTCACTGGCGCTGGGGCCTCTACACAACACAGTAGTGTACCCCAATGAGGTCTCCTACAGCCTCAGCCTGGTCCACCACTTTAAATGACAACAGGTAAAATATTAACTAGGTGAGCAGTAGCACAGTAGCATCAGCAGCATCTCAGGCAGCCAAACTGTGACAGAAACTTTCTTTCCTCTCCTGCAGGAACTTCTTCTCTAGCAGCTGCCAGAGAACTCTCCCTGCCAGCCCCAGACCTGGGGCTTAGATGTGCCCAGGGCCCTGCGTTCTTCTGGTCAGATGCTAGGGGTGTTAGTCTAAGGACATGGCACAGACAGACAAGGTCCTTTGGGTCAATCTAATCTGGTATGTTTTAGCAGACCAACTGAATAGGTACAGAAATATGTCTTAGCAAGCTTTTGGGTTGAAAAACCCTTTGTCAGGCTGAGGAAGCACCTGCAGTTGGTCTGTGTATGCGCTGTTCCTGGATGGAAGGAATAGTAAAGAAGCCAGAGGCTGGCATGCAATGCAGGCAAGAAAGCCAGTCAGTGAAAATGGAAATGGAGGTGTCAGGGGGTGAGGGACAGGCTGGGGTGGAGGGGAGGGGGATGTAGCAGCACAGGTAAAAGTGGAGAGGTACCTGGGGAGTTGGATGTCCAGCAGGTTGCAGTGTGTCAGAATTCCACTGTCTATATTGAGTCCATGACTTTCTGTACCTAGGAGGTTGATGAAGTGCAGTTCATAGGCTTGTCTGTGAAAAGTCTCTGCACATGTTCAGTTTGAGAGTCCAATATTGAAGCATTCTTCACTGCAGATTTCTACCATTGCCTGGGATCTCTGGATGGAAAGTCCATGTAAGAGCTGAGGATTATCATAACGTCTGTCTACAGCAGTGGCAATGTGTAGGGGGTGCATGGGGATGACCCCCTGAGGGTGCTAGTGCACCCCTGACAGGCAGCAGTCCGCACTTAGGTGACGGGCAGGTGGGAGCACTGGTGCCCCGCCCTGTGAGTGCCAGCTGGGGAGTGGGGGCACAAGGTGGAGCCCTGCTGGCACTTCCCTCTGCCATTGGTTCTTGAGAAGAAGCCTAATGAGGAAGAATTTTTCATGGAAGAGCTGGAATCACAGGAGAGAAGGAACAATCCCTCAGCAAGAAACAACATAGCAGCAGCAGCTCTTCTCCTTTCCTTGTCAGAGGAAAATGACAGCAGTTTCCCACCCTACATTGAAATGCCTCAGTTTCCAAAGAGAGACCCAAACTGCTAAGTGTCTGGCATGAGTCAGAAAGGGTTGGAGTCTAGCTCTGAATCAAGAGTCTCCCATCTGGATGGAGGGTCTGTGCCCAACCTTACAGGGTGCGGGTTCTCTCATTTTGTCTGGAGGGAGACTAAGGAGGACACCTTGGGGTTCCAAGACAGCGAGAAAACCTCCCTTTCAGACAGCTCCTCCTTGGAAGACTCTAGATATCCAACAGAAGGATTTGAGCAGTGTAATGTGGACGTGGACAGTGCCAACAAGAGGCCTTCCTTCAGGTGACTATGCTGACAGATGGTCTTCATTTTTTACCCTTCCTTTGAGGACCCACGTCTTCCCACAAGGGGCCACCTTTACCCTGACCTGGACAGGCTTCCCTTCCCTGAGCACATAGCTTGCTTGAAAGTACGAGTCTCTGAAGACTCCAGTGAGCTCCCTCCCCAGGACATTGGCCTTCAGACTTTACAGTTCTCAGAGGACAAGGACATTTGAAGTGACTGTGACAGTGAGACAGACTTTCTGGCCACACAGTCAGCAGGAGGAACACTGCCTCCAGCCACGATGCTAAGAGAGACTTTTGAAGCTGGGACATGGGGAATGCATGGGACCGTGGAGGAAAAGAACTACCAAAAGCTTAAATTCCAGGGCTATCAGCAGGTGCATTGTATGTCAAGAAACTGATGGCATCATGGGGAGGAATGAAAGGACAAGCATTTGTTAGCCTGTGCCTTTTTGTGCATCACTACCCAGACAGGCAGGTGATGTCCATTTCTGAAGTTCAAGCCAGAAGCATGCAATAATCAAGGGAAACTCCTGCATGTGCTGTATGCCTGACCTGCCACTAGCAGGCACTATTTTAGAAGACTGATGTTTGTGCTCGGCACCCTGTAAGATGCCTCACAACCAGCCTTAATAGCATGGCAAACTTTGGCATAACTTCCCTCATATGAAATTGAGATGTAGCACACCTAAGATCACAGACCTTGCTGTTGCTAAGTTCAGAAAAAAGTTCTCATGCAGATAGCCCTGTGCAGAGGGGATATCAGCCTCTCACTGTGTTTTGAAGGAAACAAAGAGCCTGATTAAGCCAGATGCTGTATTCGTGTAAAAAATATAACAGCTCCACCATCTTGTACAATTCCTCCAATCACTTATTTATTTTACTTGTCCTGCATGTCCTCCAGTGTATGCAGGCACACGCTGCACTTAATCACACCTATTCATTTAGCAGTACATGCAACCAGTCTAGAATTATCGGGAAAAGCTCCCTCCCCCTCCATGAATTACAAGCATCTCAGGAAAAACAAGAGCAAACTCTCTGCAGTGAGAGTTTGACACATCAGAGTGCTCTGAAACGGGACTCGAGGTCTTGGTTCAGTTCCTTGCACCAACACTTCTTCTAGACCTGCCACTTACTCTCTCTTTGCCTTGCTATCCTCATCTGTTAATTGAGAATAGTGATCATAGTCAGTCTGACAGGGGTTGTGTATGAATTGAATAACTAATGTTTAGGGGACGTGGCAGCGACGTGGGAGGGAAACAAGAGTGCCTTTATATACATATTTTTCTACCTCATGAGACATTTGTGTGAGGTTCCCACTGGACCAAGTTTTAAAGTCCTGAATCATCGACTTCTCGAGTAGATTTCATGGCAGCCGTCCACCCTGCACCCACCGATGGGGGCACTGGATGGAGGGGGTGGGTGGAGCCGCCATGTAGACAGGCCCAGGATCTATGTGGGCAGGGTGCATTTGGCGAGCTGGATGGACAAGATGGTTGCAACCCAGTCCTGTAACATCTGGTGGCTACAACAAGCCCTTTTGACGACAAGATGCAAAAACAAAGGAGGCCAAGAATTACCAAGTGAGAGGAAGCTTCTGGTTCCTACCTGTTTTTATTTCTTATAAACTCAACCATGGACAGATTTAAATACTCAATCAGTGTTGGAAGGTACAGCGCACCTGGAGAAGACGGGAAACTCCAAGGTGATCTGGGGGATTAAGCTATTCTATAGCAAAACAAATTTAGCCTCCTCTGGGGATACTTATATCTGGAGCCTTATGCAGCCCTGTGAAAGCTTACATCAGGGGTCAGCAATATTTTTGGGGAGAGTGCCAAAAACACCCACAACTTCAACTTGTAAGATGTTGGTGTGCCGGGGCGGATGATGGGGGAGCCGCGAGGGGCCCAATCCTTGCTGTTGCCATGTAGCTCCAGCCCCTTCCCTGCTGTCCATCCAGAGGCATGTATGCCAAGCAAAATGCTTTTGAGTGCCACAGTTGGGCACTGGTGCCAGGGGTTGCCTATTCCTGGCTTACATAATACACAGCCCCATATTGGTCAGCAGCCACCTATGAGGTAGGACATGATCGCCTAGTTGTCATAGTGGTGCTTACATCACAAGGGCTGTTGGCTCATCTCTTTCCTGGGGTCCTGAACCTGGTGGCTTGAGTGGCTCCGGACACCTTTGCGATAGGAGCTGCTCAGCGTGTGAGAGAAGGAAAGCTTGTTTAAGCCAACTTTGAACAATGGAAGTCATCGACCTGAAACTACCCAGCAAAGGTAAGATCCCCATGATGGTCTCCATGCCTAATCTCTAGTCCCACACCCATTCTTGGAAGCACAAGGAATAGGTGGATTAGCTAACATCAGCTTTTCTAGAGCCAGATTTCCAGTTGTGCAAACTAGTGTTAATTGGTGGCCTGGACTATAGCTTGGGTGATCAGTACCACATCAGGATCAAGCCTTCAGCCTCTGAACACTGACATGCCTCCAATCATTGGAGACTGTGTTAGATGTTCTGGGAAAGGCCTCCTTCCATCCCCGAGATATTTCTGACCCTGTCCTCCTTGCAGCCAGGTGGGTGGTGTGAGGTGTCTCTGTAGACATTACCTAAGCTTAAGCACTAGGGCGGCCTATACACGTGCTATTTTGCATTCTAATTGGAACACGTTGGAGCAGGCTCAGTTAATCGAGTCTGCTCCACATTCTAATTAAAACGCTCCAGCATTGCTTCACTGTCTTGTG